TGTGAGAATCAAGTGTTGTTTCTGCATTAGAATTGTATAATATTATTTTTATTTTATGATCTCCGCTATCATAGTTCTTTTTGGGAGTCCCTCTACTTAACTTGGGGAAGATCTCTGATAAGTTTACATCACTTATCGTATAGACGAACCTTCCCAGGAACGCATACTCTGTATATAGGTGTATATATGTATATTTTGCCACATACACTGCAAGAATATCCTGCATGAGAGCAAACCAGAGAACAAGCCATGGCCTGCCCGAGGAAGCGCCTGAAGAGACATTGGGAAGGCCTGACATCATCCCCCAGTGCTCTTTGTTTAACGATGATGACTTTAAAGAAAATCACCATATCAGTAGGACAAGGAGAGCACCGAGACATCTTGGATGATTACTGACTGGCACCAGATAACAAATAAATTAACAAGTAAATAGCAAATGTAAATTCTTCTGATAAGATTGTGAACCTGGAGTACCCAGCCATTGGGGAAACAGGGGAGGGGGAGGCAAAGGGGAGAAAACAGGGTATGAAGGCTGTCATGTTGTGCCCATAGGCGCGCTCCTACTTGTGGGACGCCCGCCATTGCAATCGCGAATAAATTTTGCTTTTATCAGAGATACCGTCCTGACAAAAATTACTTGGATTATTTCCAACACTGACTCACAGTAATTTAGCACTCAACTGAGAGGCAGCTCTTCACAGTCAAATTTCAATTATGCTCACAACGGTGTAACGAATCGCTCTGCATTTCTTTACTAATATCAAGGGTGATCCCAAAACATTTTAAAATCAATTGCTAAGATATAAAGGGAAACCTTTAGCCCACCCCCAGAAAGCAATAGCCATTAAGATTAAGTATGGCAGCTTTAGTATTTCCCAGGTAACAAGGTTAGAATAACGACATCAGTAATGAAAAGCTTAAGAGCATGGCAGTTCTTCAGTACTAAAAGCAACAACAAAGTAAAACCCCGTGCTCAACAGAAATCTAACAAAGACTGGGCAAAAAATTCCAAGGTTTTGAAGTTTGTTCTGCCAGCTGTGTGCCCTGCATGCTAATGGTGTCGCACACATCAGCACCAATGGAGACGAGCTTCTGAAAACCAAGCACTGTGCTGCAACTCGGTCAAGACATGCGGCAGCAGAGATCAGAAGATCACGACTGGACCTAATAAGATGAGTAATGTCTTGAAGAAGGCTGCATCAGAAAAGCAATACCTCCGTCCCCAAGGATCACACCTCTCCAGGACTAGTCAGTGCTTCTCTCATCTTCCAGACTGATCCTGAGCAAGTTTTATCCAAATTAACTCTGCTTCTGGGGCATGAAGGAGACCTATGCTTTTCTTACTGCTCCAAGGTATAAATGCATTTTTCTCATTTAATATAATCTAGTTTATAGACAAAGTTATGTTGGTCAGTAGAGGCACTTAGCATTCTTAGCTTGTTTATTCCTCTCACCTCTCACCTTTCTCCTCATCGTCTCTATTGCTTTACCAAGTATCTGCCATTCATTCTGCAGCAACATTCTTATGTCATCACAAATGTCATGACCAAATGCCTTCTGAGTGTCAATCCATCTATGCTCTCACACAGCTCTCAACTTACAAAGACCCACAAAGAAGGAAGGGAAGAAAAAGGAGAAGTTATGCCTAAAGACACGCAGGTATGAGAGGAACTTCTGAACTACGCATTTTTCTTTTCAACAATTCTCAGCTCTCTAATGATATCGGCAGATTGACTGCATCTTAGCTGAGGCACAAGTACAGTTTTGGAGGACTCAGATTTGGCGCACAGCCTTGAGATCACAGTTCTGCCACTCCTGCAGTCAGCTCGGGGTCACAGCCACCCTGAGGCAGCACTGCGACAGTAAGCATCGCTGATCTTCAGGTGACGCTGTGCAGAATCTCCTGCCCAGAGCTGATCAAGTCTGACAGACCAGAGCTATCTCTGCACAAGGCCATCTACTGCATCCCACAGTAACTTATCACACACGTTTTTCCATTTCCCAAGGTAACCAAGCTCAGCCCAGGTGCTCTCACTGCCTCACACAACAGGAAGCTGACTGGTCCAGTACTGTCAGTCAATGTGGAACACATCCTTCTCTATTTCCAGCCATTAACGATGAATTAATTTCCCTTACTGAGAAGAATGACAGTAAGTATCAGCTAAAAAACTGAGACTACAACAGCATGCTGCTTTTTGCAGTCTTGGTAAAGAGGCAACATCAGTATAGCAGTAAAGGGCCAGGCAGTCCTCCAGAATGGAACAATATCCACCGTGAGGTTAAAACCAGAACACTTATCCTAGACAGCTTCTCCTGTAAGAACGCGCATGAGATACGTAACGTGTAGCATTCAGAAGAGCATGAAGGCAAGAGATGAAGTATTTTTATTCTGATTTCCTAAAACTAAGGATAGTATATTGGACACATTCATGCATTCCCTTCTCAACTGATCTCTGAAACAACAGAAAGTTAAGCCATATTGGAGATGAAAGCACTCAGGAGATGGGATCAGGAAAACTTCAGATTTCATCTTCTAACAGCACTGAAAGAATCGCAGAACAGAATGGCTCAGGCCATCTGCCTGATTTCATATATATGCAGTTAATTTGCATTTCTCTTGGTACTGAGATATACACCAGGAACTCCTGAAAGCACGAGGAAACAATTAATCCTGAGCCTACAAACATTCAGCACTGCCCAGCATGCAGCACCTGCTAGCAGGCAGTTACACTGCCATGCAATCTTCTCTGGAGTTACTTTCTTCCACTGCGAGAACAAGTGCTTTAGTGTTCCCTTAGGCTAAATACATACTGACAGGTGGACTGAGGACAGGTGGTAACTCATTTTCTAAGAATACAAAAGGTAATCAGTATCTGTTATTCACCTTGGTTCTAACTTAATAATTTTTCAGCTACGATCACAAATGGCAGTATATCAAAGAGTTTCATTTCAAGGCATTAATACGAATATCTTAAAAAGCAGTACTGGAAATATTAAATCAAATTCCCAAGAGAGCAGGCAGTGCCTTTATCTGCCTGAGCAAAGCAAAACCCCACAATTCTGTAAGTCAGAAATTGCAGTTTATCAGTCTCAAAGCACATCACTGACAGTAGCTGTAAGTTCTCCATCTGAAGGACAAGTCTGGCTCAGTCAGATGAAGGTAAATGAAAAGTAAAGTCAGGAATACTGCATTTACCAACATTCATGTGTTACCTACAGAAAACAGAGGCAGAATAGATTTAAGCTCACTTTGAAGTAACTTTTCAACTTTATCCTGTTTCAAATTGTAACACAGAATGCAGCTGCCTCAAGGGGACAGAGGCTCGAATGAAAATTTCTGTGCTATGCTTAAAGTAGTGGATAAATTAGTGTGCACACTGTACGTGCATTAAAGACAAAGGGAAAGAAAGGAAAAAAATGGCAACAGCCAACCTTTTGAAGGGTAACATTCTGTTTTTAAATGTCAACTTTATCCATCTGAGAGAGTATGACTCAAAGGAAAGTTGAACTTTCCTGTAAGTGAAAGTGTGTGCTCTACTGAAACAGACACAAGGTTTGATCTATGACTGAATTTACCTGGGCCAAGCTCATCCATAGGTATCATATCACGACTCCCAGTTTTCTCATTATCTGTAAGACAGAAGCATGGAATAACTGTAACTGTTCAAGTTACATCTGCTTTTCTCAACACCTGGTACTTTCAAATTAGTCTCAGAACCAGAGAGGTCCTTAAAGTACTGGATTCAGACCTGGAGAAAAACTTTCAGCTGCCATCCATTCAGAAAGGAAAATATAATTTAAGCTCTCCAGACAACACATGAAATCCTTATTTTCTGCTTTGGACTAACCTCCACTTAACAAGCTTCTCTTAAGTTCCACCTTACAACTATCCCAAATTCTCCCAGATTATTCTAACTGATCCTGCTGTTTTCTCAACTTGCTCGCAGTACTGGCAGTGCACATTTTGCAAGAGAAGGAAAACTACAGACTATCATCCCGTTACTGTGAGTTAAAAAGCACTGTACAAATAATACATTCACTCCTTCCCGTCTTGCCCTTCCTTCCACTTCCCATAACACTGTTGTGGCAAATTCAGCAAGCAAGCAAAACACATACAGAAAGTGGGAACCAGCAGAACCGACCTTGGCTCTTATCCACCAGCGGCAAAGTGCTGTCATCATAGCCAGACCTGCCAGCAGCAGCCTTGGAACTCTTTGGCGTTGCAGAAACAGACTTCAAAACAAAAACCAGGTAAATATGAAACTGCTGTTCTGGGAAATCAAACAAGTAAACAGTGTGAAGTAAGAGCACATACTGGTTCTAAATCCACTCCTGTTACAGCACGGCAGAGGAGTTTTTTTAAATTTTATTTTCATACAGATTTGTTAGTGGAATTTTTTTTGGGGGGGGTTATCTACACCACTGCACTGTCGGTCTGTAAAAGGAGCTCAACCTTGTCAGAAGAGAAGGTAAAGAGGCTGCACATCCAGAACTAGTGACTGCCTGGGCCGCTGCCTGAAATAAAGTTCATATGAGAAAAAACACAGTTGACAAAAGGCATGCTAAGTCTCCCTTGAGCAAAGCACATGCACTTGGCCCACATAGCTTCCTAAAACTAAAAAGCTACATTTCATAGACCAGTGAAAAACTGATCCATGAAGTGCATGATGTTACAACTGAACAGGTTACAATATTTTTCCATTACCTCAAAGAACAGAATTAAAGCGTGTTCCCTACCAGACACCAATACTGCACTAAGTGAGGCACCTTCCAGTCAGCTGATTTCCATAACTACTAACTAAACCTAAGACCCAGCATTCTTACCTGGAAGTGTGATTTGTTCCAGCCATCTTTCTGCAGAGCATTTCGTAACTCCTTGTAGCTCCAGATCATCTGAAGAACGTGAGACGCTGCTTTTGTTTCTCGAGGAGACTGGCTGATTTGCAAAATAAAATCACAATGTTCAATATCAAGCAATATATAGGACTATTCATATGCCAACTTCTCCAACGCACCAAAACAATATCCAGGAGGTACCTACTACTTCACAGAGCTATCCATTGGCTTATCAGTTTTAAGATGTATATAAAATAATTCAGTGACTTCTTCACATGCACAGGTATCTGCTGACAAAAGAACCCAAGAAGTCAAAATGTGCAGATTTTTGTGTTTTCATACTGCCTTCGTGGGCAAGCACGGACACCAGGGTGCTCTTGTCATTTTGTAGTTGTCACTAATAGAAAGCAGATGGATTTCATTCTGCTTGGATTTATTTACAGAAAAAAAAGAAGCACAACAAACACACACAAGGTCTGAGCTGCCTTTAGCCAAAACAATTTCTGCACATCCTTAAACGCTTTATTTAAAACACATCAGTGGCAATCCTTGAAAGGATTGGTGACATATTCTAAGATGTCATGCTCTAACAGGCTTTCACCCAATTTTTTTTTTTTTAAGTTACAAATCTACTGAGAGGGTGACTTTTTATTGTGTATATGTTTGTTTAGCTACACTTCTGAAAGGCTAGAATAGCTTCAGAAAGCAAAAAACTACTGTGCATTGTGGTATTTTCAAGTTTGCAGTGAGCTTTAATACATTTTGCTTTCACCTGTTCCCTCACCTTGACTTGCTGATTGCCACCAGCTTCTGAATGCCCTGTGTCTGGATCAGAGACCTTGCATTTTCTGAGCTGTCAGTAATGATTTCGTGGATTGTATTCAATACAGCAACCACTGTATCCTCTTCCAGGTTCTTTGCAGATCTCTGCTGCCTGCTAGGCAAATTTCTAACCAGCTCACTCATGGCATAACTACCTGGAAAAGTGGAAGAGATACCACTGGTCAGCCCTAGTAATCCTTTCAGCTTCCCATCCTGAATGAAAACTTCAAGGGTGCTTGCCAGGTTAAAACAATTAATAATGCAAGTGTTTTGAACATCATGACTGTGACTTTATGGTGCATTTATCATTCATTATTTCAAGATGACTAAGAGTTGATATCCAAAACAGAACTCCTTCATCATGAATACTAAAAGGCTAAGAGGGGAAAAAAAGCAGATTTTATAACGATTTTACAGCCAGCATCTATCATACTTCACAATGCCTGAGGCAAAAAGCATCCAGTAGCTGCTGCTACCGCCACATATTCATGCTGATACACGCACATGGTTTACTCAGTGTAGCCTTCCAATAGGCCTTCTGGGGCAAGGTGTGCAGCCACGCATCTATTAACCTTCTTCCAACAAAGGTAAGAGCATTTCCTCCTGGGTGCAGTTGGCCTTCACATCATATGGTACTGGAGAAAAACCAAGGAGCTGGGAGTTTATCACTCCCACGTGTGTGTCTGCACCATTCACCTAGCTACACCTCTGAACTATTCAAAGAGAAACCTGATGTGTTAGGGCAGAATTCCACCTGGCCACCTGTTAGTATCAACTTGGATGATGGCCCTGAACAAGTGCTGAATACTTCCTGGTCTGACAAGTCACAGTTTAAACAGACATCAGTTAAATACAGAGGCATCCAGAGGAAAACACAACTGACAGCTGAACCTTTCTGATTATATGCACAGAAATGCATATTTACCCCACTGGAAAAGAGCTAGTGAGCACTGCTGAAAAACTAATTTAAAGACTATGTCTCTGGTAAGTTGTTTAGTATCCAGCTTCTACAGTACCTGCCACAGGAAGGAGGTCATGATGGAAAACAAAGGGAAAACTCCAGATTTTCCTTCATGACCCCAAACAAGTTCAGCCACTCTGATCTCAACAGTGGGCCTAAGGAGGAACACAGCTGTCAGCAACCTCTGCATGTGACCAGTAGCACGCTCCGTGCCAGCTAGAGCTAAGAGGCAGTCTGCTAACCCACCCAGCAAAAATCTGTATTTTAGTCCTTAGGAATCTCTCCTTAAACCATGGCCTGTTTAAGTGGACTGGAAATACATTCTGAGATGACAACCTTTCACTTGGTGGCTACACAGAATAACCTTGGAGAACAGTGATAGAAACTGCATAGAAAACGAATCCTCAGGCAGCTGACAAAAAGGAGATGTCTCTCAAAAGCATCCAAGATTCCAGCCTGCTAAGAAAAGTTCTGAAGATACCTATAAGGTCTTTATTGCGGCGATCCATGGAAAGGTTTCTCAAAGCAATTGACACAGCCCTCACAACCTTGTCAGAGTCGGACTGGAGTAGCTCCACCAGCACTGGCAAACCTCTCTCTTTCCGCACTGTTGCACGAATGTATGTGGACCACTGAACAAAACAAGGGAAAAAGAAACAACACAAAATATCGTGAGCTCATATACCCACTCTTTCTTGCCTTTGGCATTTCTTTCAGTGCTGCAATTCTTTTTTTTCTCCCGCGAACACCAGTTAAGATGTGTATGCTGATGCATCTGAAACAACCTATCAGTCACGTTCATCAAGCACCACAGAGAAAACAATGTGGAGGTTCAGCCTGCAGCTTAGTAAGCTGATGGAGAAAGAGGACAGAAATGGAAGGAATTTCATTTGCCAGCCAGCATCTGTTCTGTACACATCACAGTGTGAAAACACATTCCCCTGGATTAGGAAAAATAGGTCATTTGCAGGGAACAGTAAGGCATCCAAAGCATGTTATCTTCTTCTACCTTCAATTTTGTGCTATTTTACTCTGTTTCATGATTGATTTTAAAATAGGTATTCAAGACAGTTGCAAAACACCACCCTGCTGATCTTCAGGCTTCTGCTCGCTCCAGGTTTGCCACACAGCTCTAGAAATGATCAGGTATTGAGCATTAGCTGATTAGTAGTAGGGCTGGCTCAGAGAGAAAATCAGAGGACACTTCATAGTACAGTTTCTGACAGCCTAATGAATTAAGCATTCACAACAGGACCATCTAACAATGAGCTTTTCTGAAGGGGCGTGGCAACAGTTAAGTAGTTTAAGTAGTAAAACCAGCTCATGGTTAAATTGTCACGAGCTCAGTGACATTTGCACATAAACACCATCTGTTCAGAAGATGCAAAGCATCTTAAGTGGGCAAATGAATCGGAAATAATTTCTTCACCTTCTTCCTTCTTAAAGGGCACAAGGTAACAGTGCAGTTACAACGGATGTAGCTCTGCTCTTTACTTGCATCAAGTAACGACTAAAGACAAGATTGCACTCACAGTCCAGTTGCCAGCACTGAGATTCTGCAAAGCCCCTGCTGCAGCTTCCAGAGTGTTGAAGTTCTGACTTTCGGTGAGGATGGAAAGGTACAGTCGGACCACATCTGGTTGGTACAGTAATTCAAAGCCTGCAGGTGGGGAAGAGGACAATGAAGTAAAAAGAGAAAAGTAGAGAAGGCATGTATGAACAAACACAGAACATACCTTTATTTAATCACATCAGAGAGCAGCTGAGAGAAAGCTGTGCTATGGAAAGAAGGGTTTCTGCCATATTCAGAATATTTCATTCACTCCTGTGAACGCAGTGCACATGGGAACTCACCTACAGGACATTCAGCTAGACTGCAGGTCCCTTTGATTGCTGGTAAGTTGATCATTCTTTCTGAAACCTGTGCTATGCTATGTAACTGTCTAGCAGGTTGAGTACATGTAGTACACATAGTAACAAGGTGGCATGAGACAATGACAGAACAATTCTTATCTTGCATCTGTAGACTGTAACTTCAACTTGCACTCCTTTTATTTTTTTCATTCAAACTGTCTCAGACATCAACAAACAGGTCACAGAGAGCAAGCTGCAATCCCATCATCCACCCCCTTCTCACACCTACGTAAGGAAAGAAAGATGTCAGAATGACTAGAATTCTCAACTGGTAGGAGAGGGAGAAATACTGCCTCCAGTTCAAATATTAGGTAAAGAAGTACACCAGCATTGCATTACACTGGGACACTGCAACAGACACATAACATCTCAGTATCCCCAGAGTCACTGCTGCAGCTTCGCAATTTAGGCACGTCAGGAATGGGAACTATTCCAGCTCTGCCATGCATTTCCTTTTGTGACGCTGAGTAACTGACAGTAGCAACCGTGTGTCTATTTCCTCATCTCCAAAGATCAGGGTTTATCCACCTAACCACAGTACGAGGGCACTGCTTTAGACAAGGACTGAAGTGGCAGTTCCACGTTAGTAACAAACTGTGGATATTTTCAAGCAATCCTACCTTCCTTTTGTCACTAAGTGCCTCACAACACTGAATTGATGAAGGAGGAATATGCAAGCAGCCAGTTAGAGCACTTCCCCATCAAATAGGATCCAGGAGATTGTAGTGTTGTTCAGAAAATGTCAACAACAAACAAATAACTTCCCCAGAATTGCTTTGGTGAGTGCAGGAAAGCACAAACCACCTACAGGTAACAGAGACACAGCTACAGTGACTGCAGCTGTAAGACATTTCTGAACTGATGGCTTTCGGGGAGTTTGCAATTAGCAGGTGTTACTTGTGAAAACATTTATGGAAAAAAGAATGGCATGAAAGCAAGTATGAAGGTATGGACGAGCCTGAGGAAGCAGGAAATGTGAAGCCTGTCCTTAATAGAAGACTTTTTTTTTGCATGTACAGACAAAAAGAATGTTTCTCACATAACAAGATGCTGTCCCACGAGTGTAGCATAACTCAAAGCAAGTTTTCCACTAGTAAGACAGGAAACCTACAAACAGAAATCACGCCCTCTCTTCAATACTTTCTCTTCACAAATCACCCCCTATTCAAATATGTACTTTTATCATATTTCAGACATCTCAAATCAAACCCAGAAGCAAGAGAACTGAAAAATGCTATTCTATCAAATGGATATACTGTCAGAAACTTCCTTTTAGAAATCCTCCGTCACTGAAGAGGATTAAAAAGCGTTCTAAAATGAAAGCCTTACATTCTAGCTCTGCTTTTCCCTATTTTTCATCATAGTTATCGCTGTGGCACTATGTTAGCCATGATCTCTCAAAACCCTAATCCTCATCTAATATTAACCTAATATTAATTAATTAACTAATATTAACTTCATCTAATGTTAACATAAGGCCACGTTAACACTTTTGGATGTACAGGGCTTATTTATCCCTCTGAAGACACACTTTATCAGCCCAGGCTTTCTTTGCTCCACACCAGAAAACTGATCAGTGCCTCAAGCATCCACGAGCTCCGTGCCGTCTTACACATTCCCTGTCCAGCCTCCTCACATGCATTCCAGCATGCAGCCATGCTTTTTGAACTGCTGGATTGTTAACCTGCTGCAGACTGCTTTTACTGCCACCACTTGCCTGTTATGTGACACCTACAGATAAGTGCAAGCTGCAACAGGTGGCAATCCCCAAAGGCATCCTGCCAATCCATAGCACTTTCTCCCCTCTTCCCTGCTGTCCTCTCCTTGCACTGGGATCACTGCCCCCTGTATCGAATGCTTAGAAAAACTCCAGTTATGTAATACATGAAGCATGAACAGCTGTACAGCTCTTCTCTGTTCCGTGAATAAGTGTGACTATCTGACTCCAGTATGACCTCCACATCACCTCTCTCCTCTGCTGCTTCACAAGGTGAATTGGCAATCCCAGGACTCCTCAAGAAAAAGCACTGCTGCCTGCTAAGTGCATAGTGTTACTTTCCTGAACACTAACACTTAACAAATCTCTTAGGATAGCTTGCCAGAATTTGGAAGCTGTGTTACCTTTCACGGAAGCTTAGCTGAAGCATGAATCAGATATGCAAAAAGCTGAAAGTAGGTTCATTAATTTTCAGAGAAAACTCATGCAGAACATGTATTGCGTCTGTACTTGAGCTCAGAGTAGCCTGCCACTGAGCAGAGTGCAATTCTGTACTCAGTCTTCTGATGGCTTTGTTCTAAATTGCCTGGCCATATCTACAGCATACTTGGCAACTGCCCCACAAGTTGCCCTCTCCTTTAAGTGCAGTCTAAAATTTACCCTTTCTGTTCCCTTTTGGTTAGACATCCTTCCTTCCTTCCTTCTCGGGGTATGAATGCTGAGAAGCACACAGAAGCAATAACCCTCTCACCTCCACTTATCTCCTGCAGACAGAGCTGTATTCCAGTCACGCACCTCTTGCTCCCTTTCTGTCATTACTTCTCTTCATGCATGGAAGCCTCTCCTTTTTCCTACTTACTAATGTTAGAGCATCTCAAAAACGTCCCCATACTGTTCAATAACACATAGCATTTCTTCTACCAATCACCAACGCGTTTCTGCTTTGGGCTGCAATCCCTCAGCTGCCTGGTGAGCAATTCTCACTTCATTCCATATGACCCCATTTTCCAGCTGTATTTATGCTGCCCTGTTAACATCTGTTTTAAAAGGAGTTAATAAATGCTATACACCATATATGAGACCTTCTCCTCCCTCATGTCACTCCCCACCTTGGGGACCTCCACCTGCTGCACGCTGCCAGCACTGCATATAATCTGTGCTAGCAAACTGCAGGCAGGGGTTGCTAAACCAAAGTGTTAGGAACGACTCTCATGCACAACTGCTCATGAGCAGAGATGAGGACCTAACAGCAATAAAGTTACATCTCCACCAGAGGGTTTCTCCCTCACTGACAGCAAGCTGACACTTTTCATAAGCATTATACTCTCCTAAAAAGAAACAAACAAGTTTTGTATTTTCTCCATCTATCTCCTGTCCTAATGAGTCCAGCTTTGCTATTTAGAGGATGCTATTTGTCTGAGTTATTATCAATTTCCTTCCAGCACTGCATGGAGGCCTTGCACATCTTTCTGCAAAGCGCTTCAAGCACGTTCCTGGGAAGCACAGCTGGTCTCACCTCCATTAAGCACCTGCTTCTCTTCTAAACTGATTTCCTTAATTTCAGGATCATCTTAATTATTTTTTTCAGGTAATGCTGCCTTTGTGCAATCTATAGCTAATTGCTTATATCCCCCCCTCTTTTTTTTTTTTTTTAAAAGAAAATGAGAAAAGGAGGGTCATTAGCAATAGGTAATATATCAAATGAGAAAAACAGCACATGCTTTCCTTTTTCTTTAAAAAAAGCTGTTATGGTTATAGCCCAGATTCAGCACTGCCCTACCAAAGATCATTCCTCCCAGAATAAATGAGACCTTTTCCTTAGGTTACAGACTTGTGCTGAGTTGCAATCTATACTGTTTCCTTCTGGAAAAGCATGGGGATAAATCTTTTCTTTCTCCCCCCTCCCCCAACTCCATTGTAAAATGCAAAGCAAACTATTTGGCTATATTAGCTTTTTCCTTTTAGATAAATGGAAAATGCCTCGGACACTGATGTCATTGTGTCAGGCCTGTTACAACATCTAAGCATTCTCCCCAGCTGCTGGCATAAATGTGTACACAAAGAAAGGTCTTCCACATTAAATTCACCTTCACCAACACACTGTGGTGTCAACCTTACGACAAAAGGAAGATGAGCTTCTCTGCATCCAAGTTGTTCAAAATGGGCAATGGGATCAATTCTGTGCCATGCTCACCCCACCAAGTGCTGCCAACTGGAGCATCCTTTGTTTGCCCACAGAACACTAACAGCACACACAGCAATTTTAATCCTGAACGTAAAAAACCTGAGGAATGAACTGAAGATCCAAACCAGCCCATTCAGCTCTCAGCCACAAGCAGCAGCTCCTGGATCACCTCATCCACAAATTTACGTGCTTTCATTTTAGCATTTAGTGATGATATTGTGCCCATATACTTGACTACATTCTGGCAATAACAAACCACCTCATCAGTTTCCTCTCTCTGATATACCAGTTTAATCCCACATTTAGACATCTCTCTTTGGAGCAAAGTTGCTAAGCCTAATTCCCTTTACAACTCACACAATTTAGGATTTATTATCACCCTACAGGCACAGGCAACTACACACGTACATATACTGGTCAGATTAAGTCCTATTGCTGGAGCAGATGCAATGCTTTATTTTTTATTCTTCTAAAATCTCTGGCTTGCTGTTTCAAACAAGAGATTGTCATATGAGTTAGAAGGACACAGGGAGCACTGTAGGAAATAGAAAACAAAACAAAAAACCTTAGTTGCCGAGGGAAAAAAAAAACCCTAAAGTCACTGAAATGAACTCTGACAATTACTTGTCTTCGCAGTATTTACTGAGATGTTTACATTACTGTTTTAATTCAGACCACTTTCAAAGCAAATTTCCCAACTGCCCGTACTCACTGCGCCTTAGTTCCCAACACACAGCACTTGCAGCACCATCTGGACACATCCTGGGATGAAACTAAACCAACAGATGCACTCCAGGACCAAATCGAGGGTGTGCTAACAAGGAATACAAGTTCAAGAGCTGCT